ATAACCACAACACAACAGATAAAAGCATACACTGACCTGGTCCATGCTATAAGGCACAAGCTACAAGAGCTAAGACAGAGTGGGCAGAATATACAGATCGTGTGGTGCCCCGGGCATATGGAGGTGGAGGGAAATGAGCTGGCAGACAAAGAAGCCAAACGGGCAGAAGAAGAAGAAGAAGCAAAGAACGAACACACAGTCAAATACAGTATGGACAAAACAACAAGCTCTCAAGCATATCGAGAAACAAGCGGAAGAAAGGTGGAGAAGAAGGGATGAAATCCATGAAGGACACAGCCATACACACAGAATTGGAATAGGCACAAGGAAAAAGTGCAAAGTTGGGGGGAAGCGGTCCACACAAATCATTAACCAGCTGGTAACCGGCCATACCAACCTCAACGAATACAGAAACTGGATTGACCCCGAAATGTCCAAAACTGCGAGGAATGCGGAGTAAGGGAAACCACAGAACATTTCATGTACAACTGTGGCAAATATGAGCAACAAAGGCATAACCTACGGAACGAAGTCGAAATCATCTTTGAAGCATATGGCATTAAAAAGGAAGCAAGATCTGTGGACATAATAACGCTGGCAGGGATGAGAGAGGATTTGGGGGAGTATGTACAAGACCTTCTCATCATACAATGAGGCCACCGCCAGGTATGAAGAAGAAGATTAGGCAACTAGGTTCAGTTCCAAAACACACGCGCAGAACACCTGAGAACAAGCACAAGAGAACAGCAGATATAAGAAAGCACCTAGACGGCAAATCACCACCATGGGACCACGTCTAGCGGAAAAACAAGGACAACAACAACAAAATTCTATATCATGTTATGTGTCATCCAAATTTTTTAGCCGTTGAAGCTTTGAGGAAATCTTGTTTACACAACTTTTGGCGGGAAAATTGATGGAATCTAATTATGTCCAGGGGCGGCACATCTCAACACATAGTGGCATCGCCAAACTCACCACGCCAGCGAAGATTTCAACAAAACAAAACATCTTTAAATAAGTCATTTCTGTACCGAAAATGGTCCATAGTTTTGTATCAGCGTCAGTTGACACGGAGGAAATACATTCAGTGTTCTCCCAAACATTAACGTTAAGCAGGGGCAAAACATTCAAAAGCAAAAAGTGAAAGAAAATGGCAAGTCGTTTTAAAACTGAGAGACAATCTTGTAGAACAACACGTGTTTACTCAGAATATGCTACTTGGTAGTTACAGACTTGCTGGGAATAAAGCTAATGAGATAGTCTTGTTGCCTTACCTTGTAAAAACGAATCTTTCCAACACCACGCCACTCTTCCCTTGGCCCGACAGTCGCCATTTTCCTTTTCTTGTCCAAAACCTCGCCGGGTCAGGAAATGCGCATTTTCTCCCTCAAACATCCAAAGAACGGCATACATACACCACAGAAACATCCCAAAACATCTACTTTACACGTTTCGATAGAAGTTTTCCAAACCAAAAACGACAAAACACGAAAATTTACCCGAAAACTAGCAAACGACTCCACACGAACAGCACTCGCCACACGAGGTCGAACGACGGGCGCATGCACGTGTCTGCACATGTGTGCAATTAAACACAGGTGTACAGAACGGCCACAATTCAATTAACTTCCTCATCCAATCCAGATCGACCTTCAAAATTCAGCGAAAAGGGAACCAATCAGTACACTTTTTCGGACTTGTCTGTCAAACATAACGTCCATATAAGTGTTGGTATTCAAGCTATATCTTGATTTGAAATCACTAATACTTAGTCCGTACTATAGACTGAACCGATAACCTGGCCCACCGCCAGCAAAAAGTTGAAATAGAAACATGAAAATGCAACTATATGATAGACATTGATACCAACTCTCTCATTGGTCGAACCGAAAGTTGACACCCTCTCATTGGTTGACCAGAATATAATATAGGCAACTAATCCTGTCCTTGGTGCTGAACGCCATATCCACACACGGGGAAACATGCGTATTCTTGTTATTCTTGCCATCTGCACACGTGCAATTTGAAGATTTCAAAATGTTTTGTTAACTTCTATTTGAAGATTTCAAAATCATATCCAGTTGCTTGAGTAACTGCTTTTTGGCGTATCGTATTACCTGGATGTCTAACCTTCATCGACGTAAAGTTGTCTTTTGCCACAGTTAGAAGTAATTTCCTTATCAGTTTGGCAAGCTTATGAGAGATACAGCCATTATCAAACAAAAGTTAACGTGTGGACAGAGCTGCTTAATAAATGGAGCAACTGCACAGAATTTATAATTTTAACGTTAGGAATATAATTATTTTGAGTATTTTAATTTTGACTAAACATAAGGAGTGAACTAGAGACAGGGCAAAGAAATCTGTTGTAACATTTCCTTCTTGCATAAATTATGCAAATGAGTTGATAATGCAGATGATATAACAACCTTCGACCAGATCGACCTTCATTAATCCAGCGAAAAGAGAACCAATCAGAACACCCCCGTCAAACTCCTTTCAAGCCGCACCCGGAAAAGTACAGGGTACGGCGCGAATTACCGGGTACGACTTGAAATTTTCGCGGGTACGGCACGAATTTCCGGGTACGGCCAGAAATTTTGAGCGGGTACGGCTTGAATTTCCGGGTACGGCTTGAAATGAGTTTGATGGGGGTGTAAGAAGACAACTTCGACCATATAAGCTCGACATTTCACAGCAAATGATTGTAGTGTAATGCTGCTTTTCTTTCTGCCCACTAAGTATACACGGCTTAGCCGCTACCGTACTCTTTTCCTCACTCTATCTGCACCTTTAATTGTCAACGCCGAAAGTCCAAATAAACGGGTTGCACCTGGCCTTGACACGGCGGTCCTAAATCGCCGCCCAGTGAAGCGTGATTACACTGTAGCCAGCGGCTTAAATCCGACGTACGTACACGATCTAGCTGCATCTGTCCATGACCATTACCGTGCTAAAGGTACCTCAGCTCAGGAGAAACGTGTCTAGCCGCGAAGCAAAGCCTTAGTTCATGAGATGATTTATATACAAGCTCTAAATGGACGAAACAAACATGCTCCCACGGCCACATGAGCACTGATCAGTTATGGTGGTTGCAGTACCGTCAAACTTCACGGGGCGGCGCTAAACTGACACCGTGTCACGGTCAGGTGCAGTTCAAATAATCATGACATTCGGAGTGAGGTCAGTAGTGGCTGCAGTACCTTCACCCGTCACTGGGCAGCGCTAAATTACGGCCGTATTATAGTCAGGCACAGCACATTGTACTAGTATTATACATGTAGATGCAAGGATACAAATAGGATGGCACCCAGGCTAGAGATTTCAGACCTCTGGGAAGTGTTTCGTCGATAGGTTTTCGTGAACGTATTATGTAGGGTGTACATGTAATTCCATCATTCTCCTATTCAATGTGAAAAATGAATAATTTCATCATTCGGGACTGTTAAAATCATTAAGCGAAGGTATGAGATCGTGGAACTCTTCTTGTCTACTAGTTCCACGACCTCATAACTTTGCCAAATGATGTTAATCTTAATGATCCACTGATTATAAATGTTTTACATTGATAATGCAAATAATACCCTCATATGTATGAATCATATCAGTTGATTATATTCTCCACCCATTAACAGTTTTATCTCAGATAAAAAAAGGCTACACGTCGTTCGGTGTGATGTAGCCAGCTGCCGCCGCACCGCGCGCCTGCAAAGCTGGTGTGTTACGCCGAAGGGCGGTTATACCGGCTATACCGATACAGATGCAATCCCCTCATAAATAATGCAAATAAGGTCCTGATTTGAATAAGTTTATGAACAGCCATCCACTGCCTCTCGAGCTGTAATGAGATACATACAGACCCACACCACAGCCACTTCACCTGGGCCATAACCCAAAAGCATAGCCTTCAGGCGAAGGCAATTACTCCTTGCCTTGTCTGTATACTTGGCAACACCCCTTTGATAGTCCAGTGCCTAGGGGGTGTTCTACTGCGTTGTTACTGTTAGGACCTTGGGTGCACCGAGACTTAAGTTGGCTGGGTCTGCATGTGTCTAGTGATAGATACGAAAAACTAGACGAAGTACTTGTTAGAAAGGTATAAGTTTTGATTAGAAAGCATATGGGACTGGCACTACCTAGTGAGTAGTTACTGCCGGTTAGTTGTCTGCACCCATGTCAGTAAAAAACCTACCATTGAACAGAACAATGTACATTTGGTAAACACACCACACCTGTCATTATAACTGACTGAACAATTTATCAATGTTGTGACCTGTGACTCTTAAGTGTGTCAGGCAGCTGTAGAAAGGAATGTCATCCAGGGAAAGTTCAGTGAGTGCAAGGGGCATGTGGGGATAAACTGTTTTATGTATTAAGTTTAAGCTGTCATTTTCAAAGAAAGAATCTGACTTACCAACATTTTTGACGGTACAACTCCAGTCTTTGTCAAGGAATGAGCAATCCACCTTTTTCTGCCTCATCGCGTCATGCTGTAATCTCCAAGCAGATCCTTGGGTGGCAAAAATAGTTACTGTACCAAATTGGCCAGCAGAGGGTCCATGCGCGACCCAAGGTGAGGGCAGCGACAAAAAAAAATGGCCATGTATTTTTTATAATCTAATGATCATTCCCCCACTTCTGCTTGGAGAATAGTTATGCTGATGACATACCGGGTACGAACAAATGTAACTCCGTGGATCGTAAGTTGCGGAAAGTCTGTGGCGCCCCCCGTCTTTGTTGACACAAGGTTGTAGTGCCCCGATGTAGGTGGCCTCTTAAATCCCTAGTGCAAAAAAATGGTTACAGACTGGCCAATTTGATACTCAGCCCCCTACACTGTCTTACGCCCACCGAAGATCTGCTTGGAGATTACAAAAAAGTCTGGGATTCTTACTTTATCCCACTTGCTACATAATGACGTTTACCAACGCAGATGAACTTCCAAGACGTATGTTTTCTGATCTTGTTCGCAATGAAGACAACACGCCACTGAAATGTCCAGTTTCTAGGTCATGTTAGTCAGGAACAAACGCCTTCTTCCAAGCAATGTTCAACAGTAATACAACACAATATTGTAAAACAATGGGTGGATTGTCACCTTGTCCATATCCTAGGCATTGAAGGATGGCCCTATTAACACAGATTTAGTAGTTGTATCATTATGGAACAACTGATGAGACAGGGCTGCAAGGTGGAAAATTAACCCACCTTATTATACATATCCTAAAGTCAAGGATAGCCCTGAGGCATCTAGAACCAATCTGTATTACAACACAGGGTTGTAGAACATGTAAAAGGGGGGACTTCGTTCAATCCATATCCTTCAATGAAGGATGTCCACCCCTACATCATAACAGTAGCTGTACAACATAAAACTGTACAAGTGATAGGGCTCCAATGTGTAATCCATATCCTATATTAAGGATAGCCATCTGACATCATGACCATTTGTTTTTTTAAGAACATTTTATCTACATCACCATCGCTTCAACATTTGCATCAACAGCCATACATGAAAGTGTTTGCTGGGTGCATGCCTGTCACAATGCTAATCAGAAAGACATTGCAAGAAAAACTACTAAACAATTCACTATTGTCCATATTACAAGGATGAATTTTGAGGGAAGGTTGAGAGAAGACTGACTATTGGCAAGGAATGCAAGATGAAATATAACGAGGGAGGTTATGTTATAGTGGTCATGCACACATGTACGACAGTCTCAGACCAACCATTCCAAATACCCTCCAAGAAGATATTTCACAAATTCACACCCACTTTTACAAAACGTTCAACACATAAAACATTTCTTAAGCTACTTTCCTAAGGTAACTGTTGACTAGTCACAATAGTGGTGACATTAAAATCAACTCAATGCCTATTTATGTATAACTAATAGGCAACCCTTTACAGACAATGGACACCTTTCACATAACACAATGTCTTCCGGAAAATGGTTTCCTACTTTTGAAAATCTGCGTGGGAAAATATTCTGCATGAACATCATCCAGGAACAGTACTGTTGCTGGACCCTTTCTAGTGCAAAACAATTTTTGAAATTTTCAATTGAATACAATCAATCAATTCTGCAGTTACAGAATGTACCGAATGACCAGTTAAAATGTTGCAGAATATTTTCACATGCTACATGTACATCTCTTCTCCAAATGTGGTTAAAATTTGACAAAAGTTGTTACAAGAAAACTTGACAACAGCAATAACAAATGTAATGTCCAAGTTTTCACATACGTCAGCCAGCTTTGACCAGAACTCCCATACACTTTTGTACATCAGTGGTCACTTTGCAATAGTCTAATTTGCATAATCAATATGATCACCCCAAAAATTCTACACAGTTCTTTTCCACACCGTAGTATAATGTACTCCATGCATAGAAATCCAAACTCATCATAAATTCCAAATCAGTCCAATAAAAGTACTTTCAGATGTAGCCTACTAGAAAATGTACACTTAACTTTTGATAGATCACCTCACTTACACCAGAAAACAATACTTGGTGGTTTTTAAGCAAGGACCTAACCTTATACGAATATACTGTTTTAAAAAAGATACCTTCTCTTCAGTCATCTCTTCATTAAACTTCTCCATATGACAGAAGAGTTTGTGCGCTTTTGACATCCCTGACCAAAAATACAGTTAAATATAAGCATTAAAGGTATGGTCTACATTGAAAAGAAATTGCAAAGACCATCAACCTCTACTTGGAGAGTACATGAAACAAGCAGTGCTAGTAAGCTTTGTTACTACAACCAAGCTGTTATGTAATGTAATGTAGACCTCTGCCTTTTAGTACTGACTATTGAGTAAATGATTGTTGTAGTAAACCTAAAGCAGATCACTGAATAAAATTGCTCGATAACCAGAACATATATTTTCTACTGTTACTTTGCTAAGCTGTTTATAATTTCTCCGTCTTCATGTTTTGAGACAATATTGTTTCTCAGACTCTGTTCTGCTGTTCGTACTTCAACAGTTTCTTGGACAAGATCAAATTTTCCTCCTTGGCCTTCAGTAACTCCTCCTTCAAGGTAGCGTTCTCTTTCTCCAGGAAGGACGCCCGGAGCGCCACTTGGTTCTCCTTGATCCGCCGCGCATCCCGCGACCTCTTCGCCGCCACGTTGTTCTTCTTGCGCCGCTCCCAGTATTTGTCGTCCTTCAAGTCCTCCGGCACGAAAAATCTTGCGCGACTTTTGATCATGGGCTGCGGCCTGAGTTCCTCCTCGCTGAAGGCCCGTTTGCGGGGGTTGAACTCCTCCTTTCCTGGGATGGAGGCGAGCGCGACGTCGGTCGGCGAGACCTCGTAATTCACCTCGGGGATCACCTCCTCCATGCTGATGTGGGGTGGGGACACGCCGGGGGACACCACCCCCTTTGTGCTCGTAGGGACTGCAGAAAAGAAAAGGAACACAACTTTAGAATAAGATCAGCTTTGGACACAGTTAACCCAAAGCCAAATGGCTTCCCAACTGAGGAGAGGTCACAAACTTTAAGCCAGATTTGCAAAGTAACCATCTAAAAGGCTATAAACTACTTTATAAATCACTTTATATTTGCGGTAGCAAAAGTTTGCAGTCCGATAAAAATGGACATGTTCACGCAACTACATGTACGCGGTTGCAGCAGGTGCAGAAAAAAGAAAGTCGGCAAATTATATCCTCGTGGTAATGATGAATTTACTGTAAATAACTGAGTAAACCAGAAATATTCAAGTACTGCAAAAAAATTGTGATTTACAGTATCACGCATCTGACATGTATGCTTAAGATAGGCTATTTTGCTGTACTTCGTACACCTGCTCATGTTCTTTACTTTAATTAGCCATTTTGTTGTTTTCACTTTGATGATGATACCATCCCAAGTTTGTATAAGGAGAAGGCTTCAATTAGCAATTCCTGTTTGATAAAGCTAAATTGATAGAACACTTACATGTACTTGAGGTGACCTCCAGTGGTGGTGAGGGTTGGGAGAAGGACGTTGAAGCCACGGGTTCTGGAGATTTGGGAGCAGAGGTCTCCGGCAGCCCTGCAGTACTGGGGTCACCCACCGGGATGTCCTGTGGAGCAAGGATCCCCGCTTCAGCAAAGAAGGCATCCAGGTCAATCGCCTCCAGCTTGAAGTCCTGAGATATGAAAAGACTTGGGTTTAGTCTTACAGATTTTATAGTAGTGCAAAGAGCTATCAACAGACATATAAGCACTTTTCATTACGAGTAACTTATTTCCAATAATGCCAGAGATTATTGTATATATATATATCTTGAAGACATCCAATGCAATTTCAGGGCGGCAAGACAAAAAATATTCTGGATGAGAAAAGTTGTCTTATATTGATATTTACTGCCATTTCTTGGCACATTTTCATCATTATATTATACTTGAAGCGTTTTAAATAGCCCCAAAATAAACTACGTGAGGCATCTCTTTATTTTTGGGTACCACCCATTAATAACTAAAACCATTCTAGGATACAAAACAAGCAAATGTTTTTCATCAGCGACATCGCCTTTAGTGTCACAGATATCAATATGCTATGTGATAGCTCTATGTGATAACTCACTAGGATATTGTTTACATTAGCACATGATAGAAAAAAAATCTAAATGTTACATAAAAGAATGACCAGAAAATTGACTTCGAAAATTCAGCAAATGTCAGAGGTTATGGCACATAACAAAAACTGAACTTACCTTGAAATCATCTACATTGTCCCACAAGTTGGGTCCCAGGAAGGCAGATGCCATGACATTGGGGTCCATTTCATCTCCATCCTCCAGCTTCTTCTTGTCACCATTGTCTAGAATTCAAATACATGAGAGCCGTTAACTTTCCTTCATCGAGGTAGCAGTAGTGGTCAAGTGTTTGACGTAGAAAAACAAAGCACATTTAAAACCTTACACCAAATCTTAATAAGCGACAGAGTGGTATTGTGCTATCATTATAGGGTAGAAATCACAAGGCAGGTAAGATACTCATAAATGCTATATAATAAATTTTTCATAACACTTTCCGTAACTTTTATCAGAAAACATTGGAGAAAGAAACATGGCAGAATTGTTTAATATTTGCACTAAAACTGGGATATGCAACAGCAACATCATTGAAGCACAGTTAATATTACATGTGATGTAGGGAGCAGGATAAATTCACGTTGACATCATTTTACCGCGAAAGTGTTCTGCTGGGCAGTGGTTAGTGTTACATAAAGTTCGCGATAGGGGATATAACGTTACACATGTACGTCATTGCAACAGATGGACACATGGGACAAAATAAGGATAGGTCGTACAAAAGGTCAGCGCCTGTCTGGATCCATACAGCTTGAAAACTAAAATGTCAATCCGCCTTTGTCTGGGCATATACTTAAAATACCTGTCACGGGACGGCCTCACTTGTTTACGTCGATCAAAAATTGTTATGAACCGGGTCAATGACCATCGACAAAATTTATGAGTGCCCTGGTGACCGGACACGGGCTTGGAGTGTGTGCTTTCTTGGCTAGGGATTGAGGCAAAAAGCTAGCTATGCACATCAAATAACCGGATCATTAGTTAACGTTATAGTTACAGTGCTCACGGCAAATCATAAACTTTTTCCCGGCAAAACAAATTCTGTAGACAATCACTATAGTACATAGCACGCGACTCGGACAACATAGCTCCAAGCAGATATTTCGGTGGCTGCAAAATATATTTTGGCAAGATATAAAATATTTGTCCAGGCTATATCCAATAAAATGTGTTGTAACTCCATGATCCAATACGCCACGCCGTTTATTCTGGCGTAAAAAAAAAATGTTTGCGTAACACAAAAAGAGAGCCAGAAAAAGTGCCTAAAACGCGCCAAAAATAAGCCGAACCCGAAACATCTGCTTGGACAGTGCTAAACCGGTCTCCCCACAACAGTCAACACCCAGCAAAGTTCCCCCACTCCACACATGTACTTACCGGTTTTGCCCGGATCGGGGGGAGCCAACATCGCGCTCTGTAACAACGCCTGCAGTGTGCTCTGCCTGTCTGTGTTCTCCGTACTGTGAGACATTTTGCGGCTTTGTTTGACAACAGAAAATACCTCTAAAACACCAAAGACGAGGGCGGTGTGTTCCCTGTGACAAACCCGCTCCGGTCTCTCGCCCAAATAATATGGCAGGGCACGTGAAGTAGGGCACGGGATGCCTGGCTATCTGGGTTATGGGCGGGGTTTGTATAAATTATGTTCAGTATGACATTTCCTGCACGCTGGTTGGTTAAGAACGTGTCCCAGAATAGTAAACAGCCCGGCGGGGCGGTCCCGCGGAAGACAACCCGCTGTGTGGCCGCTCTGATCACGTTTCTTGACCTCCAGTGACGCATGACGATTTTTGTGTTATATAACGCCCGAACTCCAAGCAGATGTGCGGTGTTGGCTTGTTGCTGTCTGTTCCTGCGCTCGTTTTGCCGCAATATCACATCTATTTCGGTAGCACGTTCCTGACTGTGTAACAATGGTGACAACTGTGTCACGGTGATCTGTGACAATAAAAACTGCCCGAAAAACGTGCAAAATGAACGAAAACGGTACAAGATGAGCCAGGAAACCATGCATCTGCTTGAAGCTTATATAACGTGGGCACTTCTAAATATATTCGCTGTTAAGCACCATCAGTCAGCATACTTTGCCTATATGGAATGTATGCCCAAAGCGACGGATAAAACACATATTAAAGGGGAAAGTAGTATTTGTTATATAACTTCAATACATGAATAGAATACTAATAGGACTCGACTATCCAATAAGCACAACATATTATAACGTTAGATTTTTAATATAACAAGTGTAGTAAATTAAACATCGTTGTTGTTGCTGTCCCTGTTTAGAATTTCTGTCTGTGAGTTTTGATCAGTTTTTATCCCAGGACTTTTATCATCATTTCATTAGAAGTGCCTATGGTTTCTTGGAGCAGGGTCTAACGTTTAAAAATATATGTCAAATATTGGATCGATTTCATGGAGTTTTGGTTTGAGCAAGGATATTATGTCCTTGGTTTGAACACGCGCCTACTCATCTAGTATGATCTGATCGGGCTGTTTTTCCGGTCGGGCGAACGTTGACCTCAGACACAGTACGTTGTAAACTAGCACACGCGCGTGCGGACGTTGACCTCAAACAAATGACAGTACATCTTCCCTCTAGGCGCTAGGCTAAATTACTAGTACATCATTGGGGAAACGTTGAAAACGTAAGAAAACAGGAAAACTTCAACAGAATAGCCTATAACAGAAAACTCTGTTTGGAGTGTGACTTTTATTTATAGTTTCAACTCACACGCATGTACATGTGCCAAGCGAGCTGTCCTATTTTCCTATATACACGTATAACCATGGCCATAAATGTCCTTACGGTCAGATCAAGTCATGTGGACGTTTTCTGCCCTTTCGAGCAGAAAAACAAAGCAGACAAACAACCGTAGTCTCCCCGCATTTCTTTGTAAAATGTGAATCCTGAATTTTTCACTGAAAATGACACCATCATCAGCAGGCCTGACCATGCACTCTCCAAGCAGAGGTTGTGGAATGATCGTTTAGCTTTTTATATATGGCTGTTTGTTTTTTTGGTCGCTACCCCCACCGACCTTCTCTG